GCAGAGGCAGAGGCAGGAGTGTAGGAGGAGGGCCCGTGCACATCCCAGGAAAGATTCCATTTTAAAAGATAGAGGGAAGTCAGGCAGGGTGGTGCTTGCCTTTAATCCCAGCACACAGGTACAGGTGGGGGTAGGTGGATCTCTGTGAGTTTGAGGCTGGACAGCTATATGAGAGCCTGTCTCAGAAAGAGGAGATAGAAAGATGCATAGTTCTTTTTGGACTTCTACTCAGTCTTTCTTCCTTCTTTCCCTCCCACATTCTTCCTTCCTTCCTTTTTTTTTGTTGTTTAGTTGTCCTGGAACTCACTTTGTAGACCAGGCTGGCCTCAAACTCACAGACATCCTCCTGCCTCTGCCTTCTGTGTTCTGGTTTAAAGGTGTGTGCCATCACCACCTGGCTAGTCTAGCGTTTTGAGGATTGGTTTTAAGAACATGCAGTTGGGCCAGTGAGAGGGTTCAGTGGGTAAAGGTGCTGGCCACTAAGGCATACAACCTGAGTTTAGTCCTAGGTCCCACATGGTGGGCCTGCAGAACTGACCCCTGCTAGTTGTCTTCTGACCACATGTGCACAAGCATGCACACACACAAATAAGTGTAATAAAATTTTCTGCAGGTGCAGTAAAAGTGAGTTTGAGAACTAGGGTGTAGCTCAGTAGTGTAGCATGTGCTTAGTTTGCCCAAAAACCCAAGTTCAATAAAGAAAAGAGAAAGACTCTTTTAAATGTCAAGTGTAAGGCTGGCTAGATGCCTCCAATGGTAAAAGCGTTTGCCATGCCAGACATATAATCTGTCATGATGCTGCAACTAGCCTTTTAATTGCCACAATGGTGACAGTCAGTCTATAGAGTTTGGAAGGCAAAACCAGATTTACTGAGTAGAGCTTTTTGTTTTGGCTTTTTTGTTGTTATTTTTGGTTTGGTTTAGTGTGTGTGTGTGTGTGTGTGTGTGTGTGTGTGTGTCTGTAAAAATTAGAAGGTAAGTTTGGTTTTTGCTTTTGAGACCGGTCTCACTGTGTAGCCCTGGCTTGCCTCTGCTTCCTGAGTGCTGGGGATTACAGGTGTGCACCACCATGCCCCACCTGCAGTTTCTTTTTAATAAGACTTGCAGTGTTTGGTGGGAAAGGAACTTCATAATCATTTATGCAAGATATTATTAGAGTTTTTTTTTAAGCTCAAGATGCTTAATAAATTAAAATGTGCTTCTATATAAAATAAAAGTGCATCTTAACCTCTTGAAACCAGGTTGTGATTTCAAGGATTACAGAATTACATACCTGTAATTCCAGCACTTGGGAGGCAGGGGCAGGAGGATGCTCACAATTTGAGGCCAGCCTGGTCTACAGAGTGAGTTCCAGCCTGGCCAGGGCAGTGTAGTGAGACGATCTCATAACAAGCATATATTTACTGGTACTAGTTTTGTGCCTCAGAAAGCATTTTTGACTGTCAGAATTTGGGGTGCCATAGCTGTATACTACAAGTAGTGAGTGAAGACTACATATCCAGCCTGGAGTTTCAGCAGTGCCAGTGATAGAAAGCATTGTGCTCTTCAGTGTTTGTTTTGTGTTTGTGTTTACCCTGCATGTGTGTATGCATCCCATGTGTGTACAGTGCTCTCAGCCCAGAGGGGAGTGTGTTGGGTCTCCCTGAAACTGGAGTTACAGGTAGTTGTAAGTCAACATGTTGGTACTGGGAACTGAACCCAGGTCTGGACAAGCAGTAAGTACTCTTAACTGCCATCTTTCCAGCTTCTACAATAGTATTCTTTTTTTTTTTTTTAATTTTTGTTTATTATGTAGACAGTGTTCTGCCTGCATGTATGCCTGCAGGCCAGAAGAGGTCACCAGATTGCATCACAGATGGTTGTGAGCCACCATGTGGTTGCTGGGAACTGAACTCAGGGCCTCTGGAAGAGCAGTCAGTGCTCTTAACCTCTGCGCCATCTCTCCATCCCTACAATAGTATTCTTAGATGAAATTGTTACATTTTGTAAATGGTATGTTCTTAAATAGGTCAGTTTAATTTCGTAGCACAGGTAGTCATATGTAGTTAAGATGTTTCAAAGTCAGTATGTCTTTAATCTTTTATTCAGGTTTTTGTGTTATCAGTTACAGTTTATTTAAATTCTAAACAAAATTTCCCCATGGTAGTTTCTCTTTTAGCAAACAGGTATGGGACGGTGTCCTCACAGTAGATTGGTTATGAGAAATGGATGACGATAAAAGGCCTGCCTCATAATATACGTATAACAAATAATATGGGATGGCTTTTGTTTTGTTATTTTTAGCCAAAGTTGTTTTTATTTCAGGACATTTTCTACATTGAAAATCAAAAGGAATATGAAAATAAAAAAGCTGCTAGAAAAAGAAGAACACAACTATTGGGGAAAAAAATGAAACAAGCTATTAAAAGTCTGAATTTTCAAGAGGATGATGACACATCACGAGAAACTTTTGCAAGTGACACTAACGAGGCCCTGGCCTCCCTTGATGAAGCCCAGGAAGGACCTGGCGAAACCAAACTGGATGCAGAGGAAGCCATCGAGGTGGACCATCCTCAGGATTTGGACATATTTTAGGCACGTTTTGGACGTTCTGAAGATAAACCTTTGTACAAACATAGTTTCCATTTCTGCTGAGGTTGCTGTGCTGTGCACCGAATCTAGAGAATGGAGAGCTGTTGCTGTTTCCTGTTTGAAGTGAATATGCGTGTGGGCAGTCGAGCGCCATTGAAGGCGGTGTTAAGGTGGCCATGCCTGTCGGGTGTGCAGCACAGGTCTGATTTCTCATCCTGCTGCCTGCACTGACTGTTAAGGCCCGGGTCTACCTGCGGTCGCTCTGTCCAGCTCACTGTTTCATGCCGTTAAGAAGCTTTTGTTTTCTGATTTATCTTGGTGGCGAACTATGCTTTGGTTTTAACACATTCCATTAAAATATGCTAAAATGTACATAAATTGTTCAGCTCTTGCATCCAATTGTTCCTGTAGGGTGGGCAGAATCTTGGTATGAACCAACATCTTGTCTTTCTGCTTCAGCCTAAGTAGTGCTAAGATTATGGATTTATGCCACCATGTTCTATTGTTTGGCAATTTTTAAAAAGCTATTTATTATTAGATGGGTAAGAGTTGGAGGTGTGGGGGAGCCATGCATGTTGTGGTCAAAGGGCAGTTTTGTGGAGTTAGGTGTCTCTTTCCCTTTAAGTGGGCTCTAGGTTGTAAGGCCTGCACTTCAAACATCTATCTGCTGAGCCATCTCACTAACCCCTTTCCGGCACTCAAGTGTGTGGAAGCTGCTTGCCATCTGTTGAAAGCAAATAAATAGCAGAAGCTTTTTTCTTTCTTTCTTTTTTTTTTTTTTTTTTTGAGATAGGATTTTAATAATATAATTTGGGCTGTTCTTAGAACTCATTGTGTAGACCAGGCTGGCCTCAAATTCGCTAAATAGCAAATGATGGCCTTGAATATCTCATCGTCCTGCCTCTTCCTCCCAAGTGCTGTGGTTAAGGCGTGCACCACCACTTGGTTTCTCCAGTGTGAAAGCCTGAACTTAAGGTTCAGTCATGCCGAGTTAGTACCACCAACTGATCTGCATCCTGAGGCTCTAGTCAGCAGACTTTTCTGTTTGTCAAATCCGCAATGTCTCCAGCTATTATCATGTTTTAATTGATGATAGTGTTTTTCACAAAGAGACTTAAATAGCTCCGAGCTGCATACTCCTAGCTACTAAGGGTTGCTGTGGCGTTAGCAGGACAATTGTTACATCAACGGCAGCAGTTTCATCAGAATTAGGCTGTGTGAGGTTCTAGGTAAGAATTCTGTCATTGCTGCCAGTGATGGCTTTGGAAAAAGATGCCTGTCCTGCTTTGCCGAAACTGGACAAGAGCAGTACAGCAGGGAATGCAGCGAAGCCTGCCAATAAGTGAGGACCTTGGGGTTCCGGGCTGCTGGTTTGCTCTTTGTAGTAGAGATGGTGTAGGGCCTCACACAAGCTAGGCAAGTGATCTACCATTGAGCTTCATCAGCCTCCTCATTACACCCCCAGGAAAGGGTCTTGTGTAGTCCAAGCTGGCTTTGACCTCCTTATATAAGGTGGCTGAGAATGGCCTTGGACTCAGTCTGCTTCTACCTCCAGAGTGCTCGAGGTGCTGGTGAGCACCACCTAGCAGTGTAGAGATGGGACCCAGTCCTTATGAGTGCTAGGTAAGCTCTCTACCACCTACTTTTCATCCCTTGTCCCTGGCAGCCCCTCAATATTGTTATTCTTCTGGGGTTTTTTTTGTTTGTTTTTTTGTTTTTTTTTTTAATTAAAACACCCATTACTTGGATGTGTGTGTGTGTGTGGTGTGTATGTCCTTGGAGGCTACAAGAGGATATCAGATTTGTGGGGAACTGGAACCATAGGCAGATGTGAGCAGCCCAGGTGGGAGCTGGGAACTGAACCCTTGTCTTCAGGATAGAACATTCAAGTGCTCTTAACTGCTGCAGCCTCTAAGTTTTTTTTTTTTGTTTTTTGTTGTTTTTTTTTTTTTTAAAAATAGGTTCTCTTATAATAAATACACTCTGACCAATTTCCTTTTCCTCCATTCCTTCTAACCCCCACCACCTTCCCTTCCTCCTGTTTCCTCATAAGAAAAGAGCAGGTCTCTAGAGAGGACAGCCCAACAGGACAAAACAAGATGAACAAGCCTGGACAAAGCAATCCAATAGGAAGAAGAGTCTCAAGAGCAGGCAAAAGAGTCAGAGATAGACCTGCTCCTACTGTTAAAGAGTCCCATAAAAAGTCCCAGCTAAGCCGGGCTGTGGTGGCACACGCCTTTAATCCCAGCACTCGGGAGGCAGAGTCAGGTAGATCTCTGAGTTTGAGGCCAGCCTGAGCTGGAGAGATGGCTCAGCAGTTAAGAACACTGGTTGCTTTTCCAAAGTTCCTGAAATCAGTTCCCAACAACCACATGGTGGCTCACAACCACCTGTAATGAGATCTTCTGGCCTGCAGGCAGAATACTGTCTACATAATAAAATCTTAAAAAGAATTCACTTTATTTAAAACAAGCAAACAAAAAACTCCAAGCTAACAGCCATAGCATATGCAGAGGACCAAGTGCAGACCCATGCTGGCCCCGTGCTTGCTGTTTCAGCTGAGCCCATGTGAGCCCTTAGTTGAGCCAATGGGCCATGTTTGCCTGGTGTCCTCCATCCTCCCCCTCTCCCCCCACTCATACAGTCTTTCCTCCCCCTTCTGGGGTAGTGTCTCCTTAAATTCCTTGTGAGGCCTCTGCCTCTGCTTCCCAAATAGCTGGGATTGCAGGCGTCCACTATCAACTCTCAAGTGAGTCCTGGGTTTTCTGTCCATTTATTAAGCAGTCTGGGACATGGAAGAGCATAGTAAATTTGAGTTTTGTCTTAGCTACTTTTTTATTGCTGTGAAGAGACACCATGGCCAAGGCAACTTATAGAAGGAGTTCATAAGAAGCTTATGGTTTCAGAGGGTTAGCCTATGACCGTCATGTCAGGGAGCATAGTGGCAGGCAGGCAGGCAGGCATACTGAAACAGCTCACATCTTATAAGCAAGCACAAGGCAGAGAGAGAGTGAGAGTGTGTGCGCGTGAGCTAACTGGGAATGGCAAGTTAACTCAACCCCCTTTCTCCTTTCCTAGCTTCAGGAGTGAGGAGATTCACTTGCCACGCTTCTCACTAAAGCAAGGCATGATCCCGACACGTTACGTTATGCCTTGGAAAGAAAGCATGAAATTCAGGAATGTGAATCTGAAGGTATTTTCTCACCAATATTCAGGTTAAAGTCTGCCTATGGCTGTTAGAGATAGATGCTTTCCACCAGGCCTGACCTGGGGCCCACAGGATGGAAGGAGAAATCTGGTTCCTCCAAGTTGTCCTCTGGCCTGCGCGCACACACATGTGCCCACTAAACAAACTAAATGTGATAATAAAAATAGAACCAATTTTGTATAATTTCTAAGGTATATATAGCAATGCAAAAAACTCATTTTTTGTATTTTCACATATACTTGTAAACAAAAATAACCCAAATGCAAACTTAAAGTGGACGCATGACACCATTTGAGGTCTCGTCCACTCCTGGGCAGTGCTGGAGGCTGAGCCGGCTTGGGTGGCAAGCCGGCATGAATAGTAAAGCTACAGCACAGGAGCTCCGTTTGAGACCGTGCTGGATATTCAGGCAGAGCGCCAGGGAAGCGGCTGGTCTAGGTTTGCAGGTAAGACTTGCCCCTCGGTGCTGCTAGCCAATTTGAAAATGTTTTCCAAATTCAAACTGGCCGTTATAGGGCTCTTCTTTTCCCTCCCCTTCCCTCTCTCCCTCCCCCGTCTCCCTCCTCTCTCTCTTCCTCTTGTTCTTTCCACTTCTCACCACCCCCTCTCAAACTGAGTTTCAACTCTGGAGCCCAGATTCTCCTAGAACTCACTATATAGCCCAAGCTGGCTTTGAACTCATGGTTATCCTCCTGCCTTAGTTTCTCCAGAGCTAGGATTACAGACATGGGCCAACATACCTCTCTAGTAAGTTACTTCTTTAAAGAGTTAGAATGTATTAAACTATAAATTATTTGAATTTTTTTTTTTTTCGAGACAGGGTTTCTCTGTGGTTTTGGAGCCTGTCCTGGAACTAGCTCTTGTAGACCAGGCTGGTCTCGAACTCACAGAGATCCGCCTGCCTCTGCCTCCCAAGTGCTGGGATTAAAGGCGTGTGCCACCACCGCCTGGCGAAATTTTCAATAGAATAGTTAATGTTGAATAAGAGTGTGTTTTGACAAGGCAGGAAAGTCTTAGAAATTATAAATAATTAAATGGAATAAAATAAATTATAAAACATGGCTCAACTATTGCCATATAAAATGCTCATATATAATGCTATAAAATAAAAAGTTGCATTTTCCTTGAGATATATGGGGGGTTTGTTGGATTTTTTGGTTTGGTTTTGGGTTTTGTTTGTTTGTTTTTGAGAGAGGGCTTCTCCCTAGCTGTCTCACCTACCTCTGCCTCCTGAGTACTGGAATTAAAGGTGTGCACCACCACTGTCCAGCTTGAAATATTTTTTATCTAATACTTAAAAAACAAAACCTAAAGAAATTAAAATAAGACTTTCTTAAATTTTGGGGTGTGTGTGTGTGTGTGTGTGTGTGTGTATGAGAGAGAGAGAGAGACAAAGAGACAAAGTCTTATTATATATTCCTGGTTATCTTGGAACTTGTATATAGACAAGGCTAGGCTCAAACTCAGATCCACCTGATCTCCCTCCCAAATGCTGGAATTAAAGGTGTGTACCACCATGACTGGCTTTTCTTCAGTCTTAATATTGGGATCTATTTTATATAATTTGATGGCGTAATGAATAGCATTGCAGAGACTGGAGAGAGTGTGGTTAAGAGCACTAGCTGCTCTTCCAGAGGGCCAGGGCTCTGCCAGCACCTACATGGCAGATCACAACTGTAATTCCAATTCTAGGGAATCTGACATTCTCACAGAGACATATATACAGGCAAAACACCAATACACATAAAAAAATAGAAAAAATTAATAGCATTGCATGGTGAGACACTGCTTTTAACTATTCTTTTCACCTATTAGAAATACAAGATAAAAACTTTATGAACTGAAATTGGAAATACTGAATGTATTAAAGAAAGCTTGCTTGCTTTTATAAAAGGTATGTTTTATTTTGTCTTTCTGTTGCTGTGAAGAGACACCATGACCACGGCAACTCTTATAAAGGAAAACATTTAATTGAGGTGGCTTACATTTTTAGAGGTTTAGTCCATTATTATGGCACGACGTGGGAGAGTAGAGGCAGACATGGTGCTGGAGAAGGGGCTGAGAGTCCTACATCTTGATCTCCAGGCAACAGGAAGTTAACTATATACCACTTTGAGCATAGCTTGAACAAAGGAGACCTCAGAGCCCACCCCCACAGTGACACACTTCCTCCAACAAGGTCACACCTACTCTAATAAGGCTACACCTCCTAATGGTGTCACCCCCTATGAGCTTATGAGGGCCAATTACCTTAAAACTACCACACATTTATGTATAAGTGTGTGTGTGTGGGGGCTCTGGTTGGTTCACCAGGTGGGTCCCAGGGACTGAACTCCAGTCATTAGACTTGACAGCAGGAGCCTTTACCACCTGAGCCATCTCATTAGCCCCTCCTCCTTGTGTTGTTTTTGTTGTTGTTGTTTTGTTTGGGTGTGAGGGTTGACCCATTAGGCTTCCCTGTGGTGCTGGGCACACTCTACCACTGAGCTGCCATCTTCAGCTGGATCTTTTTAGTGTTTTTAAGGATGCTTCACTTTTACAGTTGTAGGTTAATGTATTCCCAACAACTTTTACAATATTACCGGTGACTCTGTGTGTGTGTGTGTGTGTCTGTGTCTGTGTGTCTGTGCGTGGGTGTGGGTATGCAGAATTCTACCTTAAACAGTTACCATGAATGAAGTATAAAGAATAAAATGAAATAGCATGCTCACACTGAGTAACAGTTACTGTGCTGTAGCTTGCTCTTCCCTTTGCCTTAGATGCTGACATACTTGCATAAACGTAATTTAAAAATTAAAAAGAAAGGGCTGGAGGGATGGCTCAGCGGTTAAGAGCACTGACTGTTCTTCCAGAGATCCTGAGTTCAACTCCCAGCAACCACATGGTGGCTCACAACCATCTGTAATGAGATCTGGTGCCCTCTTCTGGCCTGTAAGCATGCATGTAGACAGAAAATTGTATAAGAAATAAATCTTTAAAAAATTTAAACAGAAAAAAAAAGCCAGAAAAAAGCCAGACATGGTGGCACACGCATTTAATCCCAGCACTTGGGAGGCAGAGGCAGGAGAATCTCTGTGAGTTCAAAGCCAGGCTGGTTTAGATATCAAGTTACAGGCCAGCCAACTACCTAGTGAGCCTATAAGAGCACTGGCTGATCCTCCAGAGGACCTGTGTTCAATTTTCAGCACCCACATTAGCAATACACTCTAATATAGTCACTGAGTGGGGGAGGAGAAAGAGAAAAAGTCTTTAAATCTAACATGAAGATTAGTCCCAGCCACTGCCAGCACTATTCAGCAGAGTGTTTTCTCTCTTAGCAAGCGGAAGCGTGTGGGATCTATGCTGGCCCCTTGGAAGATTCTCTGTTCTGGGGTTACAGTGAGCGGCTTTGCCATGGGGAAGACCGGAAAGTCGTCCTGAAGAAAGGCCCTCCGGAGATAAAGATTGCCGACATGCCTTTGCATTCGCCTCTCTCCAGATACCAGAGCACCGTGATCTCCCATGGCTTCAGGAGGCGACTGATCTGATGTGCCGACCTGGGGGAGGGTAGCCGTATGCTTGCCCAGCACACAAAAGGTTCAGGGTTCCAACCCCATTACTACTAAAAGTAATAAAATGATAAAGTAGTTCAGTCTCTTGCCCTTGCGCCGTTCTGGTGCTTAAGTTCATTGCATTTTGCCGAAAAGTTTAATTTAACGATTGTTAAGTCAAAAGCATAATATCGATATCTTTGAAGGTTTAGAGAGGGCTAATATAAGTTCTGAGGCTGTCTGAGGTGGGGTGGGAGAGGAAGGAAACTGCTTCGTGGTGGATTTCCCAGGTGGATAACGAGCAACGGATGAGCCCCATGCTATCGTCTTGTGCATGCAGTCCCAGCCACTGCCAGTCCAGCTAAGCTGCCTCGTCTGGCAAATACTGTTTGGCAGCAGACATCCTCTGGCTTTTACAATCTTTCCACCCCATCTTCTGCTTTGGTCTGAGTGTTAGGGAAAGGAGAAATCATGTGGATGTCCTATCTATGAGCTCCATAGTCTTATTCTCTGCATATCGACCAATTGTGGGTCTCTATGAAAAAGAAGCTTCTCTGATGAGGGTTGCAGTATGCACTAATCTATGGCTGTCAAGGTAAGAACGTGGGGGCAGTGGTTGGTTACTCCCGTAGCCTTCTTTCCACTGTTGCAACAGGAGGCATATCTACTTACGGCTTCTTAACCGGGTAAGACTGTTGCTTGCTTTTCTTCTTTGGTGGCATGCATAGACCCTCCTAGGACTCAGAATGCTAGCCAGCTGTGATGGAGCTTTCAGTCCCAGCCGTTTCTCCAAGTCCCGTGATTCACGTGATGTCTCCAGCACTAAGGTTTTGCCATCACATTCATCAAGGGGAACCGTGAACAAAGGCACCAGCTTGTAATGTTAGGGGAAGATGTCTATGGGACCTTGCTGAACAACAGCTTGCAAAGAGGTCACCCACACTTGGAACTGGGCTTGTTATTCGATATCCTATGGTGTCTGACAGAGACATTGTTCCCATTATAGAGTACCTCCATTAAAACTCCTTTTCTGTATGTACTTATCTATATTAGGAAGCTTCTACAGTAGGTTTCTGTCTTAGGGTTTCTGTTGCTGAGAAGAAACACTATGATCAAAAGCAAGTTGGAGAGGAAAGGGTTTATCTGGTTTACACTTCCACATCATAGTTCATCACCAGAGGAAGCCAGAAACTCAAACAGGGCAGGAAGCCAGAGACAGAAGCCAATGTAGAGGCCATGGAGGAGTGATGCTTACAAGCTTTCTCTTCCTGACTTGCTCATCCTGCTCTCTTACAGGACCCAGGACCATCTGCCCAGGGATGGAACCATCTTCAATGGACTGGTCCCTCTCCCATCAATCACACTTAAGAAAATGCCTTATAGCAAAATCTTATGGAGGCGTTTTCTCAGCTGAGGTTCTCTCCTTTCAGATAACTCTAGCTTGTGTCAAGCTAATATAAGACTAGCCCGCACAGGTTCCATGTAGCATTTAAAAAGATTTTTCGTGTTATCACTTCCCAAATTCCTCCTTCTATTCCCCCCACTCCATTTAACCCTTCCTCTTCCTCTCTTCTCTTTCCCCCTTCACATCACCTGAGTTTTACCCCCTTCCCTAGAAATACACTTTGGATTTCCTTACTCTTTTTCTCCCTCCTCTTTGACATGGTCTTTCTATGTAGCCCAGGTCGGACTGGAACTCATGATCAATATTCTTACTTTTGAAACATACTTACAATGGATTCTAGGAATCCATCTGCCAAAGCTCACATCCGACAGTGCCCCTACCCAGATCCCAAATAAATACACAGAGACTTATTCTTACTTATGAATCCCTGGCCTCAGCTTGGCTTATGTCTAGCCAGCTTTTCTTAAAATTATCCAGGTTACCTTTGGCTTCTGGACTTTCACCTTTTTATCTGTTTCCTTCTAACCCTGTGGCTGACTGTGTTGCTGGGTGTCTGGCCCCTGGCATCTTTGCCTCCTTCTCCTCTTCTCTCACTCCTTTCTCTCTTCTCATTCTTCTATTTATTCTCTCTGCCTTCCAGCCCCTCCTATCCATCTCTTGCCTAGCTATTGGCCATTCAGCTCTTTATTAGACCAATCAAGTGTTTTAGGCAGGAAAAGTAACACAGCTTCACCGAGTAAAACAAATGCAACATAAAAGACTGTAACACATCTTAAAAATAAATTCCACAACAGTCTTGTTACAAATGAAGGAAGAATGGCAGACAGCAAAAGGAAGTTGACACAAATAACCCTTCAGAACAAGCTTTATTAGGAGAAAGCCTTGTGGCCGTGGGACTCTGGGGACACGATCCAGCCTTATAATGAGAGAGGAATTAGAAGAGATACATAAGAGACAGCCATGTTCAGATTATGAAGCCACTTCCTGAAGGCGTAAGTCACAAACAATGCCACACCAGTTTGGAATTATGATTAATAGGGTGGTATTTATTTAAAGGGGAAAAAACTTACAGATCACTGTCCCAGGCAACAGCCCTCTATGCAACCAGGAAGGGAGTCTAGTCACCAGTGGAGCAGGAAGTGAAGAGAGAGAGGAGAGCGAAGTGGCCGCTTTTTTAAAGGGAGAGAGACCACGCCCCAATGGGCTGGTACCTCAGCAGCTATAGGCTGGAGGAGCGGGAGGACCTCCCGTAACAACTTCCTAGAGGGCCAAACTGGTGGATCTACCCCATCTTTCTTGCAGCCTCCAAACTGCAAGCTTCATGAAAGAGTTCTTTCTCTGTCTTCCTCGGCGCTGGAGATCAAACCCAGAGTCTCATCCGTGCTGGGCTTGTGCTCGACCACTGAGCTATGCCCCCAGCCTAAGCTTTTCTTTTCTTTTCCCAAGACATAGTCTCACTGTGTAGCCTAGGCTGGCCTCGAACTCACAGAGATCGGCCTGCTTCTGCCTCTCCTGTGCTAGGATGCATGCCACATCTGGTCCAAACTTTTTTTTTTTTTTGGAAATCTCTCTCTCTGAGACACACTGTAGAGTAACTAGGACAGTCTAATAACTTCTTTGCCCTCTGTGAAGTCTGACCCTGAGACAGCCACTCTCCAACACCAAGTTTTCTGTCTGTTACAGTTTGAATCTGACATGTCCTTGTGGAGGTTTGAAAGACATGCCCCCCAAAGGGGGCGGCACTATTAGGAGGTGTGGCCTTGTCGGGGCGGCGTTGAGGTCTCTGTCTCAAGCTTCCCTCAGGGTGACAGTCAGTCGACTTCCTGTTGCCTCTGAGTCAAGATATAGCGCTCTCAGCTGCAGCACCGTGTCTGCCTGCTCCGCATCATGACTTTAACAGACTGAACCTCTGAAACTCTAAGTGAGCCATCCTCAATTAAATGTTTTCTTAATGAGTTGCCATGGTCATGGGGTCTCTTTACAGCCACAGTAAACCCTGACTAAGACAGTCCTCCACAGGCAAATGTTTAAACACTTGGTCTCAGTTGACAGAGCTATTTTGGGAAGTTCTGGAAACTTTGCGGGGGGCAGGGTGTACCTAACTAGAGGAAGTAGGTCATGAGGATGTGCCTTTGAAAGTTTTATCTGGGCCACAGTCCTTACTTCTCTTTCTGGGTCCTCCACACCTCTTGCTACTATGATGTTCTGCTTGCATTCATGGGGCTAAGAGACAAGGGCCAAACTCTCGGAAACCATGAGCCCAAATGCATTTTTGTTCACTATACTGCTCTCTCCGGTGTGTTAGTCACAACGGTACAAAAGCAATTAATTCTGTCCCATTTGCTTTTCCTTCCAATTCTGTGAATACCTAGTTATTTTCCAGTGAGCGTCCCTTTCAAGACCGCCCTGTGCCTGATTTCATACTCAACTCCTTTCAATGCTTTCCTCCTTCGTGATGGTTTGAGGTTACGATTTCCCTCCCAATAGAGCCCTAATACCTGTTTCTGTTGTGGTGGTGGTAGTGTGTGTGTGTGTGTGTGAGAGAGAGAGAGAGGGGGGGGGGAGGGAGAGAGAGAGAGGGAGAGAGAGAGAGGGAGAGAGAGAGGAATAACAACAGAAACAATACTGGAAGCCAGAACACCAAAATGGTCCCAATGTTGGTACTTCTGGGTGTGATGGGGATGCTATTGGTGATGTTAGTGATGATGTCATTTGAAACAACTCTGTAGCCCACACTAGCCTGGAACTCAGGAGTGCTGGGAGCATAGGCAAGCACAAATGTGTATTTTATCAGCAGAAGCTCTTCCTTGGTGGGAAATGCTCTTCCTTCTGTCCTGCTGTCATTGTGGGAGTCTTAAAGTTCTAGTCTTTAAGATTCCCTTTCAGGAGCCGGGCGATGGTGGCGCACGCCTTTAATCCCAGCACTCGGGAGGCAGAGGTAGGCGGATCTCTGTGAGTTCGAGACCAGCCTGGTCTACAGAGCTAGTTCCAGGACAGGCTCCAAAGCCACAGAGAAACCCTGTCTCGAAAAACCAAAAAAAAAAAAAAAAAAAAAGATTCCCTTTCAGGGTTCAATTAAAGACACCTGGATGAGCTAAGGGAGGCTAAAAGTCTGAGGGTAAAGATCTGAGGGGTAAGAAATGAGCTTACAACACTTTTCGTCTATCCATAATTCTATATTCTTCTTTTCTCTTTCTCTCTTCATTCTTGTTCTATCTTGTTCTACCCGTTACAAATGTCCCCGGTCAGATACATCCTTAAAACCAGCAACTCACCAGTCCTCGCAGGGTCCAGGGCCAGAATTCTTTTGCCCCATAAAAAATCAGATAATAATTTTTATACACACAGATTCATGGGACTGGCTAACACACATCCTATTAAATTCTTAATGGAGAAAGTTAGTTAAGAAAGGAATTAAATTGTCAGGGAATCCTAGGGGGAATGGTTATTGTGCTGTATTATATTTGTAGGTGGTGTAAAGAGCTAAAAGGTTTATTTCCAGTAAAATTATGAATAGGGCACGGATTGTTTAAATCAGCGCACACTTCTTTTCTCCCAGCATGCATAGAATCGGGAACCAAGCAACCTACGTAAACAGTCAGAGAGAAGCTGGTGGCTCTTGATCAGATAGCACACACA